AAACACCAAGTTGAAATTGCAGGACTAGAACAAAAATAGGAAAATTTAAAAACATACAAATAAATTTATAATAATGAATATAATTCTAAAAAAATCTTTGAATCACAGGACTGTGACCCAAACTCCAGAGAAAGATCAATTGGGTGTCTCCTCCATGGCCAGTTGCAGCAACCGATCCCCCGCTGGAACAGAACTTTGTCTCGATGACCAATCAAACCCGTAATTCAAATCATTCTTTCCAAAAAAATCCCCAAATCCAAGTGAAATTACATAACTTGTCATTGAAACCCAATCTGGGAAATCAAAATTGCCTCTTGGAGACGGTGAACCACCAAAAGAGCTATTCCTTATCTTTCACCAAAACGGTGTCATAATCAGAAATAAAGGGGTGGCTTAGAAGCATCTCAGCAGTCCATAGCTTTCTCAGATCCATCGCAAAACACTTCCCTCTAAAATCTTTTCCTTCTTCACACAAGTCCTATAGAATTTGCTCAAACTCATCTCTTCTGATTTTCATCAAGAGCTTGAAAATATTCACACCAAATCTATGATCCCATATCGGTTTTCCACTCGCCATCTCCGCAACCAAACACCGAAGAGCCCAAAAAAGCAAGAATCGCAAGGCTCCCTCATAAGATCTCAAGAACAAGGCCTCCTTTAAATCAGATCTCAAGCTTTGCCAGACCGACTGGAAGATGCGAAGATATGGCAGAGAGAGAGAGAGAGAGAAGGAGAGAAGAGAGATGAGAATAAAAGGCAAAAAAAAAAAAAAAACAAATTTATAAATAAACTCAATCCTAGACATGTATTTATAAAAAAATCCAAGCACTATTTAAACATAGAAACACACCCAAAATCAACCCCAAAGTCAACTTTTTGGGTGTGTTTATAAAGTGTTTTGGGTATTGGGTTTTTTTATAATTTCAACCTCCATTTTGGGTGTTTTAGTGAAACTCCAAAAAAAAAAAACTAGAGTAAGTTCTCGCAAATCAAAGAATGAGGAGGCGTGTTTGGCTTCGAAACCCATGTCAAGCGATGGGTTCTAGAGCCGATGTTATTATGGACTGGTGTCCAATAATTTCATCCGGTCTGCATTTTAGGCCCACCAAACAATGGTCATGACTCATGTCTATTTTAAATGAAAAAAATCCTATTCAGTCCAGCCCACCAAACAGGACCTAAAATCCAAATTAAATATATAAAATATACTTTTTAAAATTTTAATTTTAATTTATATAATAATAATACTAGTCTTACCACATTTTTATACCACAATTTCATACCACTTGATGTGACATCTGATGTGTACATACCACATCATGTAAAATAATAATTTCTGTTTTTCTAATTTTATTTATTAAAATACACTTCATTCATTTAATTGATGCCACATCATGTGGTATAGAAATGTGGGATAAAAAATTGTGGTAAGTGTAGCATACTTAACTATTTTGGATTTTAGAATTTTAACCCCAAAAAATGTGGGATAAAAAATTTAACCCAAAAAAAAGTTAAAAATCTATTTTTTATATTTAATTTGGATTTTAAAATTTTTTAATAGCTAAAATTAGTAAAATGTACCACGTGAGCACATTTAACTATTTTGTGAATGGAAATGAACAGAAATAGTAAAGTGAGAAAATTTTATCAATTTTTAGAGATTCTGGGAGTTAAGTAAGAAAATTTCAATTTCAATGAGTAAAATGAGAAGGAACGCCTATTTCAGAGGGTAAAATAATAATTTAGCCAAAGATTTAAAATTAAGATTTGTTTTTGAGAAGGATGAGTCTCATCTACAAACCAAATTTTAACTTACTTGAAAGACAATCCTCTTGGTGAAGCCATGACTTGCCAAATATAAAGGCTGCATCATTACTTGTGCTGAAGAAGTTTAGTATATAATTAAAATTGGAGCTTTTGGATAGCCTTTAAGAAAGAATTTATGAGGACTGAAAAATGATGCATGGCAACCAAAAAGCCTATGAAAGGGCCAATGATGCATGGGGCACCAAAAGGTCCCAAGCAAAGCATGTAACCGTAACTACCAGAGTGAGTGGAGGAGAGGGAGGGCCCCAAAATTATTAAAACACTAAACATAAACATTGCTTTTCCCTGCAGATAAATCAAACTCTGTTTTCTTTTATGAAAGGCATCTGCAAAGTAAGAACTCAAGCTCCCCATAACCACTTCACTATAATGACATTATCTGCAAAGGACTCATTAGTGAAGTTATTTGGAATAATTGCTCGTTTAGGTAAGGTTTTGAGTTCGAGTTCTAGCATCAGTATCGTGTGTACAAGTTTAATATATTATCGCATCTCTCAATACAAAAGATCCTTTAAAAAAAAAAAACAAGGCATTATCCCAAGTATCAAATCCACTTTGGCCGCATAGATTTTAATGACGGTCCCATAATTTTAGCTCATTGGGTTTTTCTTTTTTCAGTCACAAATTCAACCAAGAAGCAAAACAGGACATCAGTTTAAGAACCAAAACAGAACCATACACACCAAAAGGACAGGAAGAGATTAAGAATGTAAAGGCATGAACAGAACACCAAGCATGACAGTCCTGCAAACTTAATGCCAAAGACCATTTTCTTTGGAAATTTCAAGATGCATTTTGAGTCTCTTTGACTTGGTGTTCTGCCAACCACTTCTGGTAAAGTAAGGCAGAGACAACAAACCTTCTTAATTTATATCTACATGTGGGAGGTTCCTCAAGCCAGCTATACATGTCTTGATTCATAGCCCTCAAAATGCTCGTATCTGTTGGGCTATAGATCAGAGAGGATCAAAGAATTTGATGGTTTTTGTCCTCAAGTTTGGGAACAGAAGCAGAAACTAGATATAAGATGAATTTTGTAAGGGGAGCAGGTGAGCCTTGCCTATATGCTCTGAATGAGACTCGGAGTTCTGACTGGGACATTGCAACTGCAAACATAATATCAGGTATGAAATTAAATATGATCATGACAACTCAGTGTCATAAATTGGCCTCAACATTTAGTTTTAGAAGAAGTTCTGCTCATCAATGAATAATTGGTGCACATATCATATACACATGAATAGTGTGAAAATTTCTAAGATGAGAAAAATCAACCTTCACTGACCTGGGCATTGGCTACACAGCCTTAGCTAGCCTTAGCTTTGAGTAGACTTTCAAAGTCCAACCAGATCATCATTGTCGGTGCATTCCGGAGAGCATCAACCTCCTCATCATGGCCCAATGTTCCCCACATCAAACTTATCCATCTACATCTGGCACCCATTAGTTCAAATGTGCAGTGACAAATTTTTTGTTTTGTTTTTTATACAAATGATATTGGAAGAGGGAGAATCCGACACAAGACCTCATGCGCAGGAGTAACTGTTTTTAACCATTTGAACTACAAGCCTTTGCCTTAAGTGACAAAATAAGGGTTTGAAATTGTTGGGAAGACCTAATTCTAATTTATTTATCCAATGCTTTGTCTTCAAGGTTAAATTTGTACACGTTGGGCCGAGTAGGGTTTAGCCATAGAAGTTGTCCTGAGTCATCCTCTCTAGTTTTGGCCCATTCGACTACTGCTGACCCAAAAGCCCATAGAATCAATTGGGTTGGCTTACACCAAAATTTATGCCTCTCCTTCTCTGAGTGACAGCAAATGACTGGTGCAATCTTGTTCAAATATGGAGCTGAAAAAAATAAAAAAGCAAATTTGTGCACATATTGTCGTTTTCAAGGTTTTGTTCGCATCTGGTTTGAGCGTGTGAGAAGCAGTCAAGAAAATGGACAAGACCAGAGAAAGAGAGAGAAAGAGAGAGAGAGAGGGTGAGTCACACCACCAGTAGCAGGTGCAGGTTTCCCCACCGCATCCACCCCATACCCATCTCATGCATGCAATATCTTCAGCTTTTTACAGACTGACAATGGACACGCGTCAGCCTTTCAAGCCATACAAGTGGCGAACAGCGTTACTTACCACTTTCCCTCCCTTCCTCCCTCAACATTTCTTTTTAATCCTCAATTAACCTTTGCTAGACAGTAATCAAGCTCTTAAATTAAGCATCATTAGTTGTCTCATCTATTTTTTTCTCAGATTAATTACAAGCCTCAGTTCTTCAATGAATTGATAATGTCTCGAGACATGTCCAATCATATACGGTCTTTTTTGAGTCGGTGTACAAAAATCTTTAAGCTTAAGGTGTCTCTGATGATTAGTAATTAACGTCAAAGAACCCACAGTCGACAGTTGCATTGCATAGACATAGCCAAGCATGCTTGGCTGCGTCAGAAAGTGCCCCACCAAATGCCTCCACAATTTCACAGGCCAATGGGCCACTCACATCCCAACAAAATTACATGTCCAAAGTATGTTTCACGCCCAAAATGGGCCACGTCGTTAAGCATTTAGCCATTATAAATCCCCTTCAAAAAAACATATAAATTTATAATAAATCTCCATCAACGGCAAAGACGACAATTCAACACGTAAAAAAAGTAATATTAAAACGAAGAAAAAATAACATATTCAATCGCATACTATAAATCATCTTACTACTCTCAAGTATAATCAATAAAAAATTCCGAGTATGCTCGGAAATTTACTCTCTAAATCTTCTTAAATCTTTCTAAGTTTCTCACTTGGCGATATTAACCCTTTATTACTTGATCATATCTGTTTAGTAATTTAACTTTTTACTTTGGATACATTTTAATAAAACACAAGATAGATACCCAAGGATTGGTAATTAAGTTAACATAATGAATGAATGGATTACCTTAAATTAATTAACTCACAACCGATTTTGTTTGGAAGAAAAGGAACAAGAAGCAATCGTCGTCCACTTTGTCCCCTGTAATAAGAAGCAAGAGGCGCGTACTAAAATGGAATTTGACATATATCCTCAATTATCATTTCTCAAAAGCTACAAAAGACCTCGACATGCTTTTGGACAGAGTCGTGGAGATTATGTTGACTCTCAGTCACAGTGTATCTGCTTCGACCTCACCAAAACCTGAAAATAAAATACTCCCTCTCTCTCTCTCTGTCTCTGTCTCTCTCACTCACTCCGTGCCTTCATTGTTTCGTCTGGTATGCAAAAACTACTCCCCACCCGTCTTTCATTCTCGCTCTCTTTTTCAGCTGTCTTTTTCCTTTTTATATTCTGTTTGTTTCCCGAGAAACCGTAGGAAACGAGCAGAAATTTTTGGGAATCTTTTAACAGCCATTTGGTTTCCCATAGAATTTTAGAACCCAAACGCACCTACGTGAATGGGTTCTAACTTTTTAGTTATTTATTGAAATGGGTATTCAGTATACTTTGCTTTGCTTCTTTTCAAGACATGATCTTTTGTCTGCTTCTTCTTCTAAGCTTTTTTCTTAAGCAAGGTTTGAGCTTGAAAAACATTTCAGTCTCTTTCATGGGATTTCAAATGTGAAAGTCACTGGAATATGTGATTCTGTAATCTGGGTATATTTTGGTTTGAGCTTTAAGTGTTCATGTGTTTATGCTCTGTAGTCGTGTTGGTGCGGATTTTATTTGAGGCTCTGTTTGATTGCTGACGAAAACCAGAAATGGAGTGAAACTCTGGAGCTATGCATTTTCCTCTGTTCAGTTTTGATCTCTTTTTTTTCTTTTTCTTTTTTCCAAAACACTGAAAAAGTCAAGCAATCCATTTTTCTTTTGCTACTCTGTTCCTCTGGTTTCTCAGCAACCAAACAAAGCTTGATCTTTTGGGCTACTTAGCTAGTGGAGCTATGGTTTTGATCTTTTGATATGATGGGTTTGCTTCATTCCATGCAGCATCATTGTTTTAGTTTTTGGGCATTTATAAATGTTCGATTTTTCATCTTATTGCTTTGATTGTTGATATGGTTGCTTTGATTTTGTTTCCACAGTGGTTATTGATTTTAGACGTCAATGTTTTTTTTTTTTGGGTGAATCTTTGTGCTTCTTTGCTTCCCTGAGGCATTATGTATTTATTTGCATTTCCTATTCTTATGATTTATTTTAAAATGGAAATTTACTGTTTGCTTTTGTGAATTGTGGTAGGCATTAACATTACTGCATAATTCCTTTGACTTCAATTCTGTTCTACTTATGGAGTCTTGGAGTTTCGGTTCAGAAGGGAAAGGATTTTTATTTCCCGAAGAAATAGATATACAAATTGATGCGTTTGCAAGGAGTAGAAAACCATTGCTAGAATGGGATAACAAAACTTGCTTTAATTTCGGTAAAGAATCAGTTGACGGCATGGAGTTCATGGAATTGGATCTCCCTGACATAGTGAGGAAGCCTTTTCATACAAACCAAGGAGTGGAAATCTTGAGTGGTGTGGTTGGTAATGATTCTAGTTATAATTCTGTAGCTTCTCCTACTTGTTTGATTTCTTCAAGTTCATCTTTGGGTGAAGGAGAATCTGGGTCCAAGTTTTCGAGCCCGGTCACTGAATCTAATAGCCAGGATTCATCACTCATTGCTTTGAAGCTAGGGAGGTTGGCTGATAGCAAAAATGGGCAGAATGGTCAACATTCTAAAGAGAGGTCTAAAAGGGGTGGCATTAAGGGTTCATACTCTCACATTTCCACCTGCCAAGTCTTTGGTTGTAACATGGATCTTAGCTCCTCAAAGGATTACCACAAGAGGCATAGAGTTTGTGATGCTCACTCCAAGACTCCCAAAGTGATTGTTAATGGCATGGAACAGAGGTTTTGTCAGCAGTGTAGCAGGTTTGGTTCTTTTTTCTTTTTCTTCTAAATTTTCCTTATCATGCCATCACTTTGCTTTGCCTGTTCTTAAGTTTCTATAGTTATCATGGCACATAATCATTGAAAGATGGTATTAATTCCATCCTAATTATGTATTTGGAATGAACCCCACGGATGATCCCAGTTGTTTATTTCTGAAGTTAAGTGATGAATTTCTTTGTTGACTTATGAGAAGTGAAAATGAGATGAAGATATATGAAATCTGAAAAAGAGGCATCCCTTTTACATGGGGTGCAGTGTCTTGAAGATGAATCTGCTTTACCACAACCACCCTGAACAGAGTTAAAGAAAGTTATGTGCACTCCACTTTAAATATTTGCTCCTAGGATTGGCACGTAGTAGGATCTCATATTGATGGTGAGGGATGAATTCCCTCCTGCATTCCAAATGATGGCTGAAAAATTGTAAGAAATATATAATTTTCTTTTCAAGAAAGAAGAGGACGTTTTGTGTCTTTACAATTCAACTTCAACCTCAACCTTTATAAGGTTCCATTTTGATAGTCAAATAAAGCTTAAGCAAATTAATTGGACAGTGATACGATTTTTTTCCCTGTCCAGTTATGTTCTTTAACCTTTATTTGTTGTATAAGGTTTTTGCTGAGTGGCATGAATTAAATTTGGGCTTGAAAAAAAATTCTAGTTTTAATTGCTCTGATGTTAGTTCTTCAACTTTCACATGGTTTCTAGTTTACATCTGACAATGAACGTCAAACCTATTGAATACCATTATTCACCCCAAGCTCTAAGTGCTGAGTTGTTATAACTGGTATGAACAATGGTATCTTTCTGTGATTAGGTTTCATCTGCTTGCTGAATTTGACGATGTTAAGCGCAGTTGTCGTAGACGCCTAGCTGGCCACAATGAACGCCGAAGGAAGCCTCAACTAGATACCCTCAATTGTAAACCGCATAAGTTGCTTCGGTCATATCAAGGTATGAACACCCACATATATCTCATCTGCTTGCAGTAGGAAGGAAAAATAACTTAAAAATCATCCATATTGAAACAGCTTTAGCAATTTTCTAGTCTATTTCAAATATAGTAGGGAACATTTTTAAGGTAATGACACATATGCCACTGTTCATCATAGAGTTAGTGATTGAGCCAGAGTGCCAGGCAAAGGCACTATTGTCAATGCCATGTTGACCATCACATACCTTAATCTTATAATCAACTCATAGGAATATAGTATTTTCTTTAATGTTTTATCAATGAAAGAGAGTAAAAGATACTGGAGGAATAAAGGGGATAAGTTTTTCTAAGATTGCAAGATGCCAGAACCAAGTATGATGCATATACTTTTATATATATTGTGATGGAATAACCTTGTTGTGTGATTGTGTCTGTGGCTAGATCATAGAGATAAGGGCAAGATAACTTTATCCTATTCTTTAGTCCCACTATGTTTGAATCTTTTGACCAGGCCATGTCTTACCTATAATATGTTGTTCTCACAAATAACTTTTTTGCCATCAAGGGCCAAAGTGGTGATATCAGCCACCTACAGAGGTCCTTTTAATTCCCTCTGTCTATGGATTTTTGTAAAGTTAATTTTGGATCTTCTAAGCGAAAGCAATAAAGAGCACTATCATCCACTTAATACACACTAATTGGCATTGAGGATTAAAATGTGTGCACAGTATAGTTCTCAAAACATTTGATTAGAACAAAGTATTTGTTCTGCGGATGAATATATGTTTTTTGTCTAAGCATCAATATTCATGTACCAGGTGAATGAGATTAGCAGCTATGATTTTTACAGTTAGCTTGTGTATTGGTTTTGCAGGCGCTGGTTATGTAGGAACTTCCTTTGCAAAGAGAACACCCTTTGTCTTTTCAGATATTCTTCCAGGTGGCATTCTATATCCAGAAGAATATGCACATGCTAACCAGTATGGAAATGTCAAATGTGAAGATGAGTCAACTTACAGTCATTGTGTAACACCTATAGCAAACAGGCAAATGCTTCCGAAATCCGTCCTTGGGAAACAACATGCTCCAGGAATTCCTTCGTCAGGAAATGAATACTCTGCTTTTGATGCAGCATCAACCATTCAGAAAGCATCTGGGTCCTCAAACTCCGGTTGTGCTCTCTCTCTTCTGTCAACTCAATCGCATAACTTACCCTCGATAATACAACAAAGTACTCATCACAGTGTTGGTCAACTTTACGAAAAGCCTTCAAGAGTAAACTCCATGGAAAAATGTGGACAAAGCGGGTCCTACCTACGTAGTATGAACTCCTTGGGGGTTGACCAGATGGAATCAGTAATAGATTCTAGTCAGGCTGTTGACTTCCAACTTCACACAGATGGGGGTTTTCAAGAGTCACATTGTTTAAGTACCAAGTATTGTCTTTCTCCCGAACATGGAACAACTTTTGATTTGCTGCAATTGTCATCACATCTTCAAAGAGTGGAGCATGAGAGAAACTTTTTGCAAGTAAAACAGGAACATGGAGAATACTACTGTTTCCCAACTGCTTAAGCGTCATGCAGTCGACAATGTGATTATGTGAGTGTTTCCACTTAAAATTTTTGTTCTTGTTCTTTTTTGTCACCCTGCGAAAGTGGGGATGGCGAATGCATTCCCGGATTGAAAGTTTATATTATCAACAGATTGTGTGTAGGATCTTTCACAGCATTCAAGTAGCTCAGTTGATTAAACTCTCTCAAAGCAAGTCCTCTTTGCTTTAAAAAGTCCTCGAAAATCTAGTAGCAGCATAAAGGCAATCTAATCATATTTTGTATACTTATGTTGGGTGCGCTTAATCATTGGATGAAATGACTGGCTGTGTCTCCGCATGTATTTAGCTTTATGCAGGATATTCACGATCATGAGGATTTAATGAAAACGACGTTAATGATTGTGCAGGTTGGTGGAGGCAGTTTGGGTTTTTCTGCATCAGCAGTACTCTGACTATATTGGTGGATTCTATACAATGGCTGGTAAAAACTTTAGATACCATTGGTGGTAAAACTTATATTCTGAAGGGCAAATACAAGAGAAAAAAGCAATGTGGATTCTGATATTGTAAAGTTATGCAAGTTGACACCTTTATTGTAATGTGCAAACTTTATGCTAATATAATGATTTAAGTCATTATCTTACAAGTTTAAAGTATCATTGGTTCAATTTACTGTGTGTGATGGTGTTCAAATTGTACCTGCTTTCTGATCTCTTTGAGCATGGATAAGTTTGAAGGCACAAACCACAATGAAAGAGAATGGAGCCACCAACATTAGTGTAGAGTTTTATCAAAATCCTTCTCTTTTTTCATATCAAAGTTCTTTACACGGTGGCTTTTTTCTTTGTGGAAGATTATCATGCCTGAGCAACAGGCTAACTTCTTTATTATTAATGTTATCCTTGTTTAATCTTTAGTAAATAAAGTTCTGCTTGCAATATTCCAAATATATATATAAAAAACTAAAAATACTGGTTGCTTTAGACTTTTATAAATGGAAAATACCTCTTTCCTTACCAGGTAAGTAAGAGCTCCGACATTCTTACCAATAGCAGTGTAATGTGTGCAGGAGTTTTTATTTGTGTGGAAGTTTATACGCATCTCAGGGCAAAGAAAAGTCTGTCAATCTTGGCTATTTTTGTGAGCCTTAATCACTTCCGATTAAAGCAAAAAGTGGATTAGCATCAAAGTCTTGAATTGAAACCACTAACAAATAGTGCTCACCAGCCACCACTCGGTTTTTTTAAAAATAATGAAGCAAATAAATATACACAACTTGGACATAAAAGTACGAATAACTTTGTCCTCGCAGCAAGATGAATGTTAGATTAATGTGAAAAGAATTGTTAATGCATGTTCGTGTGCATGTGGAAGCAAACGCATGCCCCAAAAGCACCTAGACCCCATTTTCATGCCAAGCTTGTAGCAATCATATGACATCACGAGTGACGTCGTTCAAAAGCGCTTTTAGCCTTGACGACGACTGCCTTGTTAATTGCAAGTGCGCCGGTGATGTCGGCTGATTGGTTTGGGCTTATTGTTAAAAACATCTGTGCTTTATGGACTAAAGACTGCAAATCGCGGGTCACAGGTTGTTGATCCATTCAGGATTTTAACCCAGGAGAATTAAAAAAAGTCTTTTTTAAATGAAAATTATTATGTGCTGAAGTGAAAAAAAATTTAGAGTATATGAACACATAATAATGCGACAGTCTCGAAGATAAATGGCAGAAAAGTTTGAAATAAGTAAGAAAAAGGTTATATGTTGAATTCAAAGGAAATTTGCATTAGCACATGTGAGAGAAATGTCTAAAATAAAATATGGAGGCAAGTATTAAATATGTGAGAAATGCTTGCCTATCACGAGTCTAGTGTTTCTCTCTTTATCATTCTCCTAATGCAACTAATCACATGATAAGAGAGATAGAGAGAGGAATAGACGGTTTAAAAAAGGCTTACTAAAAAACTTTGAAGATAAAACATGTAAATATGACCAATGCCTTTAATTCTTTGGACGTGAGCCCATTTGCAATTGAGCCACATACCCCATCTCAGGACCAGAGTATACTAAGACCTCTTTGATGACTTACTGGGGGTGTTCCTCATGTTATTTCAGAGGAATCAAACATGTTCTTATACCTAATTGTATAAGACAGTTACGAACTATAAACGAGAACCTCAAATCAAATTGGTGAAACTCGAAAGTTAATATATAGAAGGATCCAAATTCCAAAAGTACAAAATAAGAATACCAAACTCTAATTGAAAGTACTCAAATGCAAAATAAGTTCATTAAGAAACAAAAAGAAAAAAAGTACGTAGGGAGTCAAACTCAAGTTCTAATTAACAGGAAGGAACTAAACGAGTACTTCTAATTATATATATATATATATGCTGAAGAAATGAGATGATGTAGTGGTAGCTAAGGTAGGCAGCTGATCTAGATCTCTATGGGAAGCAAAGCAAGCATCAATCTGAGTGAGAGAGGCAAAACCCAAATTCAGGTGGTGATCATCCCCATCCCATGTCATGGCGTTTTTGGGTTTTGGTAGCACATGGCTAGGATGTTCATTCCTGCAAAATCTGAGCCCTTCAAAGCATCAATCTGAGAGGCAAAACTCAAGTCGAACGAAAGCCACAACAACCAAACAAAAAAAGAAGAAAAAAAGAAGAAGAAGGGTTTTGATAAATAATAATAATTAATTAATATATAGAAATAGATATAGACAAGATATTCTCTCTTACGTTGTTAGTGCTGCTGCAGCTCCCAGAATCTGATCCAGCTGACGGACTAGGAATGTACCTAGCCCACTGTCACAAATAATATAATATTGACAGCTAGCTAGTCAGAATATATATACATTTCATAAATTAATAATGCGTAGGGCACGTAGTACATGAACCCTAGCAAGCTAACAAAATGCAAAAAGAAAAAAAAAGGGAAGTTCATTAACGTACATTTTTGGCTGCAGCACTAAAAGCTTCTCGATGTGGGATCTCTGGGTTGGCTGCTTTGATTCGCTGGATCTCTTCTCTGTATCATCAACACAAAGAAAAGGAAATTAATTAAGAGTGATTAAATAAATAAAGATGGGTTAATTAGCTTGGATCCCCTTACTTCATGAACCGATTGTAAGCAGATGGAAGTCTGTGTTTCTTCTCAGGTGCTGCAAAACAATTTGACATTTATAATTAATCAAGTAATTAATGAAGGCGAGACTATATCAAATGTGGTTGGTAACTTGTATATACATACGTTTGACAACAAAGGGTGCTTTGGGGGATGATGGCTCGCTTGATATTGGTGAAGATGATGATGAGGATTGGCCCTTTCTGAAGTCACTGCAGCATCCGGCCTGCTTCTCATTATTATAAAGTCATCAACACCTTATTCCCATTAGATAGTCATATATCATACATATATGTACATATAACCAAAATTAATATACTGTATGAAAGCCCTAGCTAAGAACATATATATAAGATAACAAAAATATAAACAGAAACATATATATATATATATATATATATAAGATATTCATATGTTTTATAACCATTGGAGAGTAGATACAGGGAAGGAGACACTAAGAGAGAGAGAAAGAGTAATTACAGAGAGGTTACCTGAAGAGTCAAGGAGGTGGGGTGATCAGAAAGGCATTGACCTTGAAGTGCAGGTCTGGTGCTGAGAAACGACAGGTTGCTGCAATGACCACATTTCACCGTCACAGTGTCCAGCAACCGTTTGAATGGAAGCCCAACCTACACATTTATATAAGATTTTATACTAGGGGGAGAGAGAGAGAGAGAGAGAGAGAGAGAGAGAGAGGTAGATATTAAATAACAGGACTGTATAAATGAACATACATATCAGCATGCCACATAGAATTAAATCCTTAGTTATGTATGATTCTGAAAGCGCATGATATATGATACTCTTGTTGTTAGAGAGGGAGAGAGACTGTGGTTTCATTTTGTTATAGGCAGCGACACACATATATATAGATATAGGAAGGTCGACAAAGCTTATCTAGAGTCGGGAAAATAGATTAATATATATAGCTAGCATGCAAAGATACATAGTGTGTGTGCGATTATTACCGCAAGAACAGTGCTGCAGAAGTTGCAGCGGACATAGCAAAGATGCTCAGATGGTTGATTAATCAAGTCCATGGTGACTTTCTCTTCCAGGTTCATGTCGAGAACAAAAGGAAGACAGAAGAAGAAGAGGTGGTTTGGGGTTTGGGTTTGTGAAGGAAGATGAAAGTCTGGGGTTTAGGTGTTGTGATAGAGAGAGGCACTTATAGTTTAGGAGTAAGTAGCAATATATATATATATATATATATATATACACACACATAGCAAAGCAAGAGTGAAAAGGAAATCTAAAGTTACTATACTTACACACCCACCACTCACAAAGTCATCATCATCGTACGTACTGCTTCTGCTAGCTGCTGCACTTAATTGCATTGCAGAGACCTCTCACTTGCACGTACGTACGAACCACAAACTTAGATATTGACCCAAGATATATATATATATATATATATATCTCACCATTTTCTCGAGAAAAGATCCCATGTGACATTTGATATATCCATTTCTCTTTTCTTTCTTTTGTTTTTAGTTATTGTTTAATTGTTTTTTACCTTGCCACGTAAATGGTGTGTTCAAATCTATAATCATCCATTGATTGAATGAATAAAGATTTGTTATCACCCTAAATCCTTTGATTTTCATATTTCACCTTTATCCTGTATTGACAGAGTGCAAGATCCCTCGAAAGAGGACATGTCCCATCAAATATATTGTTACACAACAAGACCACCAGAGAAACAATTCGAAATTGACCATTTAGCCAATTCTTGTGATATACCCTATTGCCTATTGGCATCTCTAGACATTCAGGATAATTCACAATCAAAATCTTGTCGGGGAAACATTTTTTTTTTTCCAAAATAAAAAAATTTGGAGTACCGGGGATTTAAAATAAACTTCTTTTAATAAAGTAAAGATAGAAAAATACTACGTCCATAGCTAGTTCGTTCATGATGCGAGTTCAAATTCCTATTTTATAGAGTAATAAACTCTTATGCTAACTCACTCACATTCACCAAATATGCGACAATGAATTTGGAAAATATTGTTTATATATGGCCTAGCTACACTGTAGTAGTTGAGCTGTAGCAAAACATTTCCCAGCCAATGCCATCGTTTATTGAGAGACATATCAGCCACGTCATCGTCATGCATATGCAAACGATGAGCTAGCAGCCTGCACTGCAGTAAATATGAATTGGAGTTTGGAGCCACCCAGTAACCAGCCAGCCAGAATATTTATTAATATTTGTTGAATGAATGAAAGAAAAAAAGTTGGGGCGATGGAGAGAAGTTAGTGAGAAAAGGAGGCCCTGTCATCCCTTCCTTCTTTTGTGGGTGCAATGCCAAACTAGGAAATTCGAAAGAGACCACTGCTAAAATCACATGTCACTTCTTTCCAATTGGCCTGGACATGCCAGGACATGGGTTGTTTATATATATTTACCTCATTTTTTCTAAAAAAATTATTTATTTTGGTGATGGGACGATTCTTCATTTTCCCTAACAGGAAATAAAGCCATTTTAACCCTTGAATCTCCACCTTTCTTTGCTGGTGCAAGAAGCTGTTTTCCCAAGACCTCCTCACTTTTTTTCTTCTTTTTCTTTTCAACTTTGCATGATCCTTAATTAGTCCTTGAATTCATAGAAGTAATTGCATGCCTCTGCGGGCAGGCCTCTCTGCTTCTGCATGAATCATGATGATACGTTTTGTACATGGATTGGACGCTTTTTGTTTAACTGGTGCCCCCTCGAGATTCCCATGTCTGCTCTGAACCTCACCAAAGAAGTTACCAGACCCTTATTTTTTCCTTTCCTTTCAGTCAATCCATGAATATGATGTTCCAATTTGTGGTTCAGTTCATTAACATATTTGGACACAATCATTAGATCTATGCCCTCCTCCATTTTCTATCTGTTTTTAGAAATCCAGATTTGACCCATCTCTTCCGCCATATCTCTCTAGCCTGTCTAGCCTCTATAGCTACCTAGATTTTGGCAAGTGTGCTTGTTGGACACTTCCCTAACGTCTAGGGCACCTTCTTCCTGTTAGGTTGGTGCTCATTAACATTATTTGTTATTTCTCTTTTTTATTCAAGTTTTTCTTTGTTGGCTTTTTTCGGAGTTTTCATCATTCTAATATGATATCAAAGACGTTTTCCGCACAGTTGATTTACATTTACTCAGTAGTATGTACAAAGCGGAATTTTATATGTTTAGCCACATGTGCAGTAGCTTTGTTAAAAAAACAAAGTCCGTTTTTCTGAAAAATTGGATCATAAGATGATTCGTTTATCAGTGTTCGTTATTATACTAAACTAACATTAAACTAGGCATATATTATATATAGACATACAAATTATGATGATTTTTGTGTTTTGACACAACTATTGCTTTAAAGCAGGATGCTACCATTCCTGAAAGCTTGTCAAAAGCTGGCAAACCAAAGAGGAAAATTCCAAGAAATTGAAACCGAAAAAGAAATCGAGTTCTCGAGCAATGCAAGCAAACCAGATTTAACTTTAAGTTTTTATTCTTCTTTTAGATGCTCCAAGCGTCCAACTAACAAATTAATATCTTGAGTTGGATGCAATCAAGATTATCCTCTGCTTTAAATATGTGATAAATTGGGTTAGGTTCATCAATCGACAAAAATGTCGTTGTAGTATAGTGGTAAGTATTCCCGCCTGTCACGCGGGTGACCCGGGTTCGATCCCCGGCAACGGCGTCTTTTCGTTTTTGGGTTTTTGCCTTTCACTGAAGATTTTATCCTCTACGTTAAATTATGATAAATAAAATTTAGGTTGAAAACTTAGCAAGAGGGTCGTTGTAGTATAGTGGTAAGTATTCCCGCCTGTCACGCGGGTGACCCGGGTTCGATCCCCGGCAACGGCGTCTTTTTGTTTTTGGGCTTTTGCTTTTCACTCAAGATTTTACCCTCTACGTTAAATTATGATAAATAAAATTTAGGTTGAAAATTAAGCAACAAGGTCGTTGTAGTATAGTGGTAAGTATTCCCGCCTGTCACGCGGGTGACCCGGGTTCGATCCCCGGCAACGGCGTCTTTTTAATTTTTTGTGTTCACGTACCAAACCAAAATACAAATGCAGGTAATGTTAACTTCAAGTCTACGCGGCCTCAAAAGACCCTCTCATTTTCGTTCCCGCCACAAACTCCTCCTCCCTCCCTCTCCCTCTTAAAAATATAAGTTAAAATTTTCGCCGGTGTTTTTTTTTTAATGTCCTTTCGAAAGCTCATCAGACTGACTCTCAGACCTAAAAATGACGAAGCCTAAAGTCGAAGAAGCAAAACCTAACGCGGAAGAGAAACCCGACGATCTCGAAATCAACTCGATCGGCTCCCTCTACAATGGACCTTGGGACAAGAAGTACTGGAGCTCCTCCAGGGTTCGATTTCCTTTTCCTCCTCTTAATTTCAAAAATTTCCTCTTTCATTAGTCAAAATGTATGAACACATAAGCATCTAGGATAGAAAATTATTTGTTCTTTATGCCAAAAATTTATCTACAATACGAGGTTTGAGCTCTTCGATTGATTAATTGTTGAGTATTTGAGAATTAATTGACAATGAGTAATTAGTTTAGTAAATGTTAAATTAGTGTTTAGTCATTCATATTTTGTTATTTGCACTAATTTATTGGATTATTATGTTCAAATTTTGGTAGGGGAAAGATCGGTATCCTTATCCAGTTGGGTACCGGGCTGTTCGAGCTCACAATGGGAGCACATATAAGATGGAAATTCAAGAAGGTCCTAAAGGACCTTTATTTTCGGTTAGCCATTACTAGCCAGGCCCTGTTGCTTTTGATTTTTAATGATATTTAATTTTTGATTGTGATTTGTTTCTGTGGGTTATAAATGTGCAGATTATTGCTGCTGATGGACAATCGTCTTCTGGGCAAACGCCATACATTGCATGGGAGAAATTTCAGAAGGCATTTTTTCCCCGCATGAAGATTTGGCATGGGAAGAGATTTTCGTGTAAAATAGATGGTGTGGAGGTAGATATTGATTCCTTTGCATAAGTAGTTGATTTCAGTGTTGCTTTTAATATGAGCAATTGGGGTTCTGTGAACAATCCAAGCAAGAGAGAATGAAAAAGTAAAAGCGACTTTATGAGTTTAGTCAATATGAAACTGAAAACATTGACTGGTGACACAGTAACTAGTGCTCCATCATGAATTTTGTGTTAGTCACCCATTACATGTTCAATTAAATTGCAGCTCATGACTGTACTCTACTCATCAAAAGTTTATTCCTGTTCTTGCTGCTATATGTTTCTTTTTATACCTGGTTAATTGATTTCAACCTCTATGCAGGATGGTTTTTTTTAACTATTCTGTCTGCTAGATAAGCATAAGTTTTTTTTTTGGGTTAAATAGGTTTTCTTTCTTTTTATTTTGTTCTTTCCTCCATATTCAATGTAAAAGTTTAAACAGACCATGCTGGTAATTCAACATGTTTTGTATGTAGTTTTTTGGGTTCAAAAATCCATTTGTCCAGAGGCTACTTCGGGAGCTGGCTGCAAACGTTAATGGAACAGCAGAAAGGAGTTTGGTACCCTCAAGTTTCTGCAATGGAGCTTCTAGAAGAACAGATGTTGATAATCGCTTTCCAGATGCATGTCCATACTTGGCAATACCACGAATCACTGGGAAGAGAAGTAGGAGACGTGAAATTGTAAATTCAAAGTCATTCAGTTGGACTAGCATTAAAAGAACCAGACCTGAAGATCTGACATCTTTTGCCAAGCCTTCGGATTCAGTGAAAGGGAGTAAGAGATGTCATAATAATGGGAATTCCACGCTTTCCTCTTCTTTTGAAGAGGAGTATGACATTTGTAAATATTCAAAAGCATCGCCACCATTAGTGCATTTAGTACCTGCTCATCAAGAAGAGAGTGACTTTTCAGTCAAAGATAGTTTGCCATTGGATTCTGTTGGCTTCCCCAATCATCCCAGGATGGATGCTGTCCATGAAGAAGCAAGGCTTTTTGTTGGTTCTGGAAATTGCAAATCTACTGTGGTAGCCAGCAACTTGTCTGTGGACGAAGAAAAACCCGTGAGCACATTTCCCTTTTTTATTCATCTGGCCTCAGAAACCCAAAGGAAGCTGAAAAGTCTTGACTATTTTACTGATTC